GAAGTCGGACGCTCAACCGACTGAGCCACCCAGGTGCCCCAAGCTTATTTATTTTTGAGAGAGACAGAGAGAGAGCACAAGCAGGGGAGGGGCAGAGAGAAAGGGGGACAGAGGAGCCGCAGCCGAAGTGTTGACAGCAGAGAGCGCGACGTGGGGCTCGAACCCAGGAACCACGAGATCGTGACCTGAGCTCAAGTCAGACGCTCAACCGACTGAGCCACCTGGGCGCCCCTCTTGAGTTTTGTGGTTATCTACCACTCTTACCTATCCCCGCCCACCTCGTCTTACACGTTCTCAGCTAGTCTGTCTCCCTTTAGTATTCTCAATTGCCTGCCCGCCTTCCACTGCCTTGGATGCCGTTCGTTGTGGGGCATTCGTTCGTACGCGCCTCTGGTGTTCCACCACCTCTTAAATGAGTGTCAGCTATGATCTGGTCACGTTCTAGGTGTAGGGATCTAGCACCTGGGAAACTAATATCACTGTCCCGGAGCTGGCAGTCCGATACATCACATTTGGTGGTGAGAAGAAAATCAATGCAAGACACGAAAGATAGACAACGATGTGTCGTGTGCCTGTGGAGGATATGTCCAGGGACGACTTTTTGGGGAGGTTAACATTGATGCACCAACATCAGTGATATGAGAGAGACAGAGCCACGTAGACTTTGAATATTCGGGGTGGAGAGAACAGTGTGTGTCAGGGCGATAGATCCTAAAAAGAGCAAAGAGGCCAGTGTAGCTTAATGGTGGGTGGTGCGAGTGGCCGGGGCCAATATCAGAGAGTTAGCTGGGGGCCAAATTATGTTGAGTTTTTTAGGCGAGGTGAAGCACTTTTTAACAGGCTATGTTTTGTGGGCTTTGGTAAGCACTTTCATTCGGTACCGTGACAAGGGAAACCATTGTGGAGTTTTAAGTAAGTGATCTGATTTGTTTTTAAAGGATCTCTCTCACTGCTGTGTGGCAAGAGTTCTGTCGGGGGTGGTGCCCTCAGGCATGACAGTGACCTTCAGCGTCAGAAGATTCAACCTGTGGATCAAACTGTTGAGTATGATGGATATGGAAAAGTCTTCTACAAGAACACAGGCTTTGTTGCACATGAAAGAACGCACGCAGGAGTAAAAAACTTTGGATGTCATGAATGTGGGAAAAGTTACTGCAGGAAATCAAACCTTATTGAACATCTGAGGATACACACAGGGGAGAGACCCTATAAGTGTGGTGAGTGTGCAAAAACCTTCAGTGCAAGGTCATACCTCATTGCTCACCAGAAAACTCACACGGGGGAGAAACCCTTTGAATGTAATGAATGTAGGAAGTCTTTTGGTAGGAAGTCACAACTCATTCTACACCAGAGAACACACACAGGAGAGAGACCGTATGCGTGTGCCGAATGCGGGAAAACCTTTTCTGAGAAGGCAACCCTTATGATTCACCAGAGAACTCACACAGGGGAGAAGCCCTATGAATGTAGCGAATGTGGGAAAACATTTCGAGTCAAGATATCCCTTACCCAACACCAGAGAACCCACACAGGGGAGAAACCATATGAATGTGGTGACTGTGGGAAAAACTTCCGTGCAAAGAAATCCCTAAATCAACATCAGAGAATTCACACAGGTGAGAAACCCTATAAATGTGGCGAATGTGGGAAGTTCTTCAGAATGAAAATGACTCTCAATAATCATCAGAGAACTCACACAGGTGAAAAACCCTATCAGTGTCATGAATGTGGGAAATCCTTCAGGGTACACTCGTCTCTTGGGATACATCAGCGAATTCACACGGGAGAGAAACCTTACGAATGTAGCAAATGTGGCAATGCCTTCTATGTTAAAGCACGCCTCATTGAACATCAGAGAATGCATTCAGGAGAGAAACCCTATGAATGCAGCGAATGTGGAAAAATCTTCAGTATGAAGAAATCCCTTTGTCAACACCAGAGAACTCACACGGGAGAGAAGCCCTATGAATGTAGCGAGTGCGGAAACGCCTTCTACGTGAAAGTACGCCTCATCGAACATCAGCGGATTCACACGGGAGAGAGACCCTTTGAATGTCAAGAATGTGGCAAGGCCTTCTGCCGGAAAGCGCACCTCACGGAACATCAGAGAACTCACGTGGGCCGGCCCTTGCCTTTTACTGTGGAGAAAGCTTCTTTGTGAAGACTCCCATCACCGTCTGACCGGCACACAGAGCACACCCGTAACAATTAGGCTCGGACACTGGTGTGAAAATACATCCTGATTCCTCTTAGGGGATAGCTCGTTGTTTTCGTTTCATTTGGATTCCCCTAATTAATGGTGAGGTTGAATAACTTCTTACCTGTTGACTGGCCGTTAGGGTTCTTTTCTTCTGTGCTTTGACTGTTGTGTATCCTTTCCCCATTGTTTTCTGACAGGCTGCTTATCTTTTACATCCTGGCTTTACATGTTCTTGTTTTCGTTTTTCAATATATGAGAATGTACAAACCTTTTCTCAGTCATGTGTACGGCAGATATCTTCTCCTGGACTGTGGCTGGTTATTTAATGTTGTTAACTCTTCCGTTGAGGTTTTATGTTCGAATATTATCAGTTTCAAGGTGATCACAATTCTCCTACACTTTTCCTCTAAAGTTAAGGTTTTCCTTTCAACATGTAGAATGTTAATCTCCCCTGAGGTTGTGTGTGTGTGTGTATAGCGTGAATTGTACAATATATAATACTATATTCCTCTGAACACTTTCCATAAATGGTACCACCCTGTGTTGAAAGTTCTGCAGCTTGCTTTTTTCATGAAACGTTACCTGTCCTTGATCTATCCATGCTGATAAATATAGGTCTGGTGTATTCATTTCTCTCCCCCTAGTGCAAGACATTTGTGTTGTTTCTGTGTTTAGCGTCTGGATCTAAAAGTGGAACTGATGGGTCATAGAGTATAGGCAGTGTTTAAGTTACTAAGCTGCTGTGCCCCTAGCTCCAACACCCCCCTTCTACGCTGTTCTTTGCGATGCTGGGGCTGTGACTCTACAAAACATGTTTCTGTCTTGCCAGCTGCTTCCCGTGGGGCCTTGCCAATCGGAGATAGTAACTGTGAACCGTGAGCGTGAGGAAGGAAGAAGGGCCTTGCTCCTTTTCTTTTCCTCCCTGTTAGCGCCCCCTTCATCTGAGTGTCAGCCCAGTATCGCTCCCTCCCTTGCGCAGAAGTTCCTCATGGTGGCAGTTGTTTAATTCAGCACTCACAGAACAGCCAATGGTGCCCCACCCCCTCAGAAACACTAGCGGCAGCTGGCTCGTGCCACCCCCTTGGGAGTTACCAGTCCCACCCACGTGACACCACTCCCCAGCCTTCCAGTTTTTCAACCGACTGAGCCACCCAGGCACCCCAGCCAACCTTCCAGTTTTTAATAATTCCAGTTTCTTCCCTTGTTACCTTAGCCTAGCTGCTTCCTGCAGTTGCTGCCTCCATGATAATTTTAATGTTCTCTTTCTGTCCTTTTCAGTTACATGGTTAATAACTTTGTGACTAGTCAAAAATTCTTTATAAGAAGTTCTTTTCATTAAAACAACTGGCATCGTTTCTGTCTCCTAGCTGGGTTCTTTTTTTCTTTTTTAATGTTTATTTATTTTTGAGACAGCATGAGGGTGGGCATGAGCAGTGGAGGGGCAGAGAGAACGGGAGACACAGAATTCCAAGCAAGCTCGTGCCATTATCCAGAGCCCAAAGCGGGGCTCGAACCCGTGAACTGTGAGACTATGACCTTAGCCAAAATCAAGAGTCAGAGGCTCCACCGACTGAGCCACCCCAGGCGACCCCTCCTAGCTGGGTTCTGATTGCTACAGAAGTTTTGCAACTTTATTAAATAATTGAATTCCCCCCCCTCCAAATTGTACTAATTTACACTCTCATGAGCAGTTTGAGACGAAGTTTACATTATCCCACGTATACACCAGGACTTATCAGTCTTTCAAATTGTTGCCAGTCCGGAAGATGTAAAATGGCTTTAAGCCTTCCCATCCATGAATATGGTTTGTCTTTTTATTTTTTAACTCAACTTTTTTCGACTTCCATTGTATGTTACGGTTTTCTCCCATAAATTGTCTTTAATTAAAGTTAACTTTTAACAAAAATTTTGCTTGTACCTGTATATACATATACATTTCAAAATATACTGATGTATTATGGGGTTTATATAAATATTTATGTGTAACACACACACATACACACAGAAGAGATACATACTTATATGTCCATAGAAAACTTTTTTCTTTTATACGTTCATTTCATTTTGCCCACATATTTGCCACCTTTCTGCATTCCGTCCACAATCATTTTCTTCTTTGCCTGAACAATGCCCTTTAGTGGAAGTCTGCCAGTGACAAACCTCTGACCTTTGAGAATGTTTTCTTTTTTTAAAGCTTATCTTTTAATTTGTTCTTTAAGTAAGCTCTAGGCCCAGTGTAGGGCTTGAACTATTGACCCGAAGATCAAGAGTCACGTACTCTACTGATTGAGCCAGCCAGGTGCCCCGAGAATGTTCTCTAATGCAGCATTTTTGATGAGCAAAAGTGAATCCTTTACCTTTAGCATTTGGTAACGCTATGTCATAGAAAATTGATGCTACATTAAATACCTGTTGTTTTTTTTTTGTTGTTCCCTGGATATTCCATAATAAATATGATGACCCACGGTATTTGAATTAACCATCAGATGCCCCCAAATATAGCATACACTTGAGTGTATATATTACACTTTATGCATTTTTTCAACAGCATGCCCTCACCCTTATTTACTGAGTATTAAATTTATCAAGATGTCATCTCAGTGATTCTTTTAATCTTCAGATCATCCATTTAAAAAATTCAATTTTATGTTTAAATTTTTTTAATGTTTATTTATTTTTGAGAGAGAGACAGAGGGTGAGTGGGGGAGGGGCAGAGAAAGAGGGAGACACAGAATCTGAAGCAGGCTCCAGGCCCTGAGGTGGCAGCACAGAGCCTGACGCGGGGCTCATACCTACGAACCGTGAGATCATGACCTGAGCTGAAGTCGGATGCTTAACCAACTGCGCTACCCAGGCGCCCCTCAAGTTTATGTTTCAGAATTATTATTCTGTTTTGGAAAATGTCAAACATAATAAAAGTCATCTATAATAACAGAAAGCAGATCAGCGGTTGCCTCTAGGAGGGGAATTAACTCCTGAAGGGTAGGAGGGAACTTCCTGGTTGATGGAACTATTCTATATCTTGATTGGGATGTGTATTAATAGTTATGAAATGAGTAAATTTAAGATTTTTGCACTTGCTTGCATGTAAATTATGTCTCAAACTTTAAAAACAATAATAAAAAGTTCCCTGTTCCCATACCAGGAGCTGGATGTGGGCTGCCTGGGAGAAAAAGACACCGGCAATGGGAGACTTAGTCCCAGGGCTTTAGAAATGGCTTTGCTCCATGAAAATGACCTTCACTGAGGCCCCATGATGGGTTGTGCTGGCCTCGTGTTAGGGAACGTCATTTACGTGGTGATCCCTCACTGCCAGCACTGCCGTGCGTATTTGACTCGCAACAGCTTAAGCACAGTCTCCTTTGATTCTCCATTGGCCACCACCACAGTAGTTTTTACCCCCAGAATATGTCCGCATGGTGACTACCAACACCCCATTAACTTAACAGCACTTCTTTTCACCCCCGCTAGTCTAGAGCACAATGTCTGTACAATGACCTACCATCAGCTCCCAATATCCCGTCTTATCACAAATTTTTGCTCCCACCAAGTCTACTGACCCCCCCCCAGCTCGTCGCATCACGTCTCGCCACCCCTCTCAGTTACCATGACAATTTTTGCTGACCTGTTTGCTCATCGCGGAGTCTCTTCACGCCTTTAGCCCCAGCTTTGTGACTGATGATCCTCCATTAACTCAATATCATGCTTTTTGTCTCGCTTTGGACTCAGTGTGGTGACTGCTGACCTCCCATTAGCTCACAGCAATGTGTCTTGTCACCTTCCTTTAGACCTAATGTAGTGTCTGTTGACCCATATCGGCAGTGTCTGTTGCCCCCCTACTGGCTACCATGCAATACATTCAACCCAGTGTGTTCTAATCACAGCGTCTGCTCTTCCTACTTTAGATCCTATCATTATGTTGATTTTTACTGGCCACCGAATGAACCCACAGCTCAGCACAGCACAGTTGCGCCAGTATCTATCTGCTGTTCCCCAGTTAGCCACCCGTGTGGTGACTTTGATCCTCCTGAGCCCCAGTAGACCATCTGCAGAACTTGGATGACCTTGTCACTCTGTCTTCGGAACCCCTATTTATGAACCTTTAAGTTTTTTAACCTTCAGACCCAGTGGTGTCTGCTTAAAATAGCCCCCATCACTGTGTCTTCTCACCCAACACTACAGCCTGTCAGGGTATGGGCTGACCATACACCAGTGCCTTTTTATTTTTAGCCACTAGCTGCGGATGAACTCCTTGAGGATGTATCACCATGGTTTTTGTCCTTATAGTAGTCAAATCATTGTGTCTGTTAAATCTCCTCCCTTTAACCACTAATATTGTGTCTTTGACCAGTTGAAGCCCCAGTAAAGTCTGGTGGCCCCACATTGGCCCCCATCATGGTGTCCATTGATCCTCCATTAGCCAACAGTAGTTTCTTGGACACCCATGAGGCCCCAGCAATGTGTTTGCTGACCCTCCTTAGCTACCATCCCTCTGTCTGCTGATCCCCAATTAGCCGTAAGAGCAGAGACTAACTTCCACGAGCTTCCAGTACAGTATCTGCTGATTCCACATTAGCCCCATCTTGCCGATCACCCTTTAGCCATGAGTAGAATATCTTTCACCCTCTGAAGTTCCAGTCATGGTGTTTGTGACTGCATGAACCCTCATCACTCTGCTCCCTCATTAGCCACTAATACAGTGTCAGAATGCAACGATCCCCCAGCACAGTGCTCGTCACCCCATGTTATCCTCAACACTGTGACTGCTCGCTAGTTCAGTCTTTGCCTCATGCTTCTCAGTCATGACATCTGCTGCTGACACCGGATTACTGCCATCCCTATGTCTACTAATACTGGTCACAAATACAGTGTTTTTGGTCGTAAAAAATCAGCCCAGTGTCTGCTGACCTCACGTT